TTTAAAGAACAGAATATACACTGAGTCCCTATGTACAGCTCCGCAGGGGCAGTTTCATCTAAAATGCAGCTGCTAAGGAGAGAATCGGAAATGGGAAATATTCACTCCACTTGAAATGTTATGAATATTTCACATTTACTCCACATTTGCAAAAACCCACATCTTGCAACCACAGGCAAATAGGAGATAGTATAAAAGCTGTGGATTTTTTTTTTAATCGATTGCAGTACTGTAGTGCTGCAACTGCAGATTCCTGTTGTTGTTTGCTTTTAAATCAGATTTGCAGTTTGTAAATTTACAGAAGCCTTGATTTTTTAAAAAAGCAATTAATACCAAAATAAATGTATAAATAACACTTCCCTACTCAATAATCTCTTAAGGGAAACAGTGTACATAGCTATCCCATCATTCTCTTAAGGATTTGCCCATTTATCAATTTCACATCCTGGTTTAACCACATTGTTGAACAAATTGTAGTGGCTTAATTCACTTATGCTTAGACATAAACCATGGATTAGAAACTGCAATAGCGTCTTTTCACATTGTGTTAATCCCAAACCAAATAATTACATTATAGTTCAACTCAGTATGTGAACTAGCCATTACTTTCCATTGTTTGGCAGACACCTCCATCTTTATGAAACTAGCCTTGGGATAGCTGTTAAGGTGATCAGCCCCATTCTTGGATTTTTTTTCCTGCCAGTCAAATGTCATTTTTCACTCCGTTCTTATTCCTCTAACACTCATGCCTGAAACCAATAAGTTCAATGTACAATTGCTTAGTTTTGCAACGCTTTAGAAAATTCCCCGCTTTGATTTTCTCTGATTATAAAAGTAGTGTATCTGGCATACATGAAGGCTGTGACTGGGTGGAAGAACTTTCATAGCATCAGCCAGAGAGAAAATAGATTTTTGAGTGGGAAAACATTGTTAGGAGGGCTGGGTGGAGTGTACTGCCTGCAATATGTTTTTAGTGAATAATAAACCAATGGATCATAACCCAATAATAATGATTTTAAATGTATTACAGCCACCCACCCCAATGGGCAGCTTACAAATACAATACAATAAAATAGTTTTAAACTTGGCAACTTCAAGAGGTATAGACTTCAACTCCAAGAATTCTGGGAGTTGAAGCCCATACATCTGAAAGTTGAAAAAATATTGGAATGTACAACCTTAGAGACAGCCCAGACAAAAATAATCAAACACCAACAAACCAACCAAGCCAAAGGCCCTACATATATTCAGTCTTAGGCCTGAGACCAAAGTCAGATCTAAAGTGCTTTTGGGAAATCTAAGATTGCTGTCTGTATCGGGGCAGGGCATCCTGTCCCCAACATCAACTGTGACAGATTTCTTAGGAGGGAAAGGAGGTTTAATGTAGAGTTTGCTGTGGAATTCTTTATTATTGTAAAATGTGTGGTGTAATAGTAGTAGCAATAATTTTCATATAATATGTGCTAAGACAATGTTTCTCAACCTCAGCAACATTAAGATGCATGGATTTCAACTTCCCAGAATTCCCATGTTGCCTGGGGAATTCTGGGAGTTGAAGTCCACACATCTTAACATTGCCAAGGTTGAGAAACACTGCCCTAGGCTGACTCAGGAATTCTGGGAGTTGAAGTCCATGAGTCATAAAAGAGCCAAGGTTGCCTACCCCTGCCCATTCTAAACTATAAAAACCTGCCCTGGAGTTTTTAGGAAAATTGCTAACAGGAATAGAAAAGTCAAATCTTTTTTTCCACCTATCTTTCCTTCCTTAAGAGAAAATGTCTCCTTCAAAATATTTGTCAAATTAGCCTTAGTTTAATTGCTCCATTCCATTTTCTGAAGGTCATCGCACAGAATCTGTGGGGTTTCTGGAGATGGACTGGCTGTCCCTGATCAAGTATTTAGAGACATGTTGATCGGATCTGGAAGTAGTAGGTAATTTCCAGCAGTAAGTGATAAGAAATTATATAGTAAGAGCAGTGACTCATTCAGAGACAAATGAGCAAACTCCTGTAGCATAAGGGCAGTTTTAGCCAATGGAAAGGCTATAATTATTTAATTGATTTACCTCATGGCATAGCAGTTACGGGTTTAAATCCTTGCTAGTGATGATTTAATAGGGACCCAAGGAGATGGTACTTATTTTGATTCATAGTATAATCCATTTTATGTCTTCCCAGAAGTAATTCTCATTTAATTCAATGGAACTTTCTTCCAGGAAAATTCATATAGGATTGCACTTTTAATTAAAAAGAGGGCCAGCTACCTCTCTGTCATAGAAATCTTATCCCCCATGTCTGCAACCTTATTTATTTATGCTGTTTTCCCCATCTCAGTCCAGAAAGAGGCTAAGCAATTTATAGTTAATGAAAAACATAATAAAACAACAGGAGCAAACACTAATAAATTATGGCAATAATAGCCATGGTTTATAATCCTGTTAATGTATTAGCTCATACAGACCACCAGTAGCTCCCTGACTCAATCCCAAAAGCCTCCAAACAAATTGGTTTTTATTAGCTTTTGGAAGGCCTTGAAAAATTAGATTATTCTCAGGAGGCTAGCTACATTTATAGGGTTGCTCCTAAAGATAAACTCCTCTCCCACTGCACCACCTGGTAGGTGGGAATCTTTATGCTGTTGCTCCTTCATAAAAGAATTCTATGCCTTAAATCAGTGTTTTCCAAAGTTGGCAACTTTCAGATGTGTGGACTTAAATTCCCAGAATTCCCCACCCAGCATAGCTTTTTCAGGGAGGCGGGGACATGCTGGGCACTGAAGCCGCATTATAAAGAGTGAATCCAGGAATTTACTGGATAACCCATAGCTGGCTGGGGAATTCTGGGAGCTGCAGTCCACACATCTGAAAGTTGCCAACTTTGGAAAACACTGTCTTAAATCATAAAAAAGGCAGACTTTTCAGGACAAATTGGAAAGCCGGAATTTCTGGATTCACTCTCTATGATGTGGCCAGCATGTCCCCTCCTCCCTGAAAAAGCCGGTGGGAGGCAGCGCACAGCATTAGCAGCTTAGCTGCTGGGGGGGGGGGAGCTTCCCCAGAACAAATGAGTTGGGTTAAATCTGCAAGTCAGAGGTTCTCCAATCCTGCTTTAATGTTTGCAGACATTTAAGAGCTAAACGTTATGCTGAGGTGATGAACAAAATGGACTTGTTGAACGATGACAGTGTCACCCAGCTTCTGAAGCTTTCTATCAGGAGACACCAAGATAAGCACTTATATTATACAGAGAGCAAGAGGCTTTTTGGAAAATTTATAAAGCTCCGGAAAAATGTAGTGTTACATGGGTACATGGGAAGAATTCATACATGTTTAAGGCTGTGGTGAACCAGGCAAGGGGGCCATGTTATACACACAGGAGAAGAAGCTGGGAGAACTTGCTTTGTGGGCTCAAGACAAACAGCCCATAAGAATTTTGTTCTTGCAGCCTTGCTAAGAATCCAAGACCCTGTCATCTACATACTTTCCAACATGTTTTTAATATTTTATTATTTCTAAACCTGAGTTTCACCTCCTCCGATAGCCCAGATGTTGTCCCTCTAAAGGACATACCATTTAAAGATGCACCACAAGGTACTGTGTGAGGTTCTTTATGTGTGGTAAATAAATGCTTGCAACCTCATTCTTCTAGCCAATTCTGTTTGTCTAGTTTTCTTGGTGGAATTATTTCTGTCATAACCTGTTTGGCTCGCTTATTCCTTCTGTGCATTTCTAAATATAAATCCAAGTGCTGAAATTTAAGATGGGAGAAGCAAGTAAGTACTGTATATTGGTAAGTCCATAGGGACAGAGATAGATAGATGGATTTCTCCTTGTGTTTTGACATACTGTTTGCCAATTTATCATCCACCAGTCTGCCTCTTTAGGTATTAATTGATCTCACTAGCAAAATATTTTTAAAAAGACGAATTCTAGTTGTCAGAGATGGTGACAGGGAGATGAATTTGATTAGCTGATTTCTTATGTAGCTCGGAATGCTGGAATCTTTGCTGCACATAACAACATAGGTGTCAGGTGCATTAAGTTCCAGTTAAACTCATGCCCATACACAACAATCTATTCAACTGACAGCACTAAATTAGTGCTAGATAAATTAATGGAATTCAAGAGGGGCTGAATTTGGATCACTTGTGGGAATATAATGACTCTAGGCTGATTCCTGTCTTGACTCTGCTCCCAGGCTCTGCTTCTCCTTCTCCTGCTATAGGAAAAGCTATGTTAGATCAGACCAAAAATCTATGGATCCAGCATTCTGTTCCCACAGTGATCAGTGGGTGTGTCTGGGAAATCCACAAGCAGAGTGTGAAGTCAGTGGCTCATCTTCCTGCTGGTGTCCTTCAGCTCCTGTCTCTTAAGAACCATGCCACATTGACCACGGTGGGATGTCTAACCAAGCATTCATAGCTGCAACATTAATCACAAAGTATTAAAACTTTTGTTTAATTGAGGGCATGGAATCCTAGGCAGGTTTTATTATAGGTGAACAAGCATTGTCGTATATGGATAAAAGGTATATAAATCTTGATTTTTTTTTTCTCAGAGATTTTGGCATTTCTGAAATCCATTTAGCAGTCTTCCCAAATGGTGCTCTTTAGTGGTATTGCACTCCTGCTTGAGCAGGGGGTTGGACTAGAAGACCTCCAAGGTCCCTTCCAACTCTGACATTCTATTTTCTATGATTTTTCTGATAATACAGTGTAGGAAATAGCTGTTGTTGGGAATGCAGGGAGCTAATGTCCAATACTTCTGGAGGATAAGATTGGAGAAAGATGCCATATATTTTTCAGGCATTCTAACCCCTGAGCATTAATATTTTCTCCAGAGTCTAGCAAAATCTTTTCTATCGTTCTTCTCTTCTACAGCATACATATGCATTTGTTAAGGTCACATTTAAGACATTTGCTAGCTCAGTGCTCTTTAAGCAGGCATCCTACGCTTTGTATAAACTAACCGTTTCTTTTCCTTTTTTTTTTCTTTCCTGCAGGGGGATTGGAAAGCAGGGACTTCAGTGCTTAGGTAAGACTTTTCTTTTGACAATGCCCTTGGCGTGGTGCTCTTTTTCCCATTAGACCACCACATGGTGTGGAAGCACAATCAGGCTTATGGAGCATAGCAGCAGGGTTATTGGAGGGGAAGGAGAGGATGTGGGCGCTGCAGCCACACCCCTTTCTCCTTGAGTCCCAAAAGCATGGGGCCCAGAGAGCATTTGGCATGCTGTTGTTAACAAGGAGGAGTGTGTTCTGCACATGCTCAGAGGCTCTCCTGGTCAGCTTGGTTGGCTCACAGCTTGCTCTTGATTAAAAGAGGATTTGTAAGCACGAATTGTAATTTTTGTTAAATGACAGTCTTGTTTCGGGGGTTTGCATCTTAACAGATACGAATTACCCAGAGAAAAGGCTGAATAGGTTCTCTTGTTTGAGTGGAAAAGACGACCACAACCTGTGAGAAGGATAAAGGGCAATGCTTTGGTTAATTCTTGGTTTTTGGACTTAGCCACATGCTGGCTGGGGAATTCTGGAAGTCGAAGTTCAGACATCTTTAAAAATTACTAAACTTGAGAAACGCTGGTGCATATATCAAGCTAAGGTCTTGTTCAGAGATAGCTGGGACTCAGTAGTGCTAGATTCTGAGGGCAAGTGAGAAGAACAAAGGGTTTGGGGGCAGGGCCAGGCTGCCTCTAATTTCCCTAATTCCCATTTTAATCAAGCAATTTTTGCACACACAGAGAGTCCCCGATCCAGTTTTATTGTTTCTCTGAACTACATTCCTCTGGGTTATTTTAGGACTGTGAAATGTCTCTTTCATTCTTGTATATTTTATATACACATCTATCTCCTACACTGCCTTCATGCCTGACTTTTCTGTCCAAATCTACCTTTATTTTTCCACTTGTCCTGTTGGCTTGTGGTCCCTATGTATTCATGTACATTTGGTCATGTATTCCTGCTTACATTTTGTTATTTATTTATTTATATTTCATATTTCTAAACCACCCATCTCCCTGATAGAGAGATATTTGTTCATTTACTGTTCATTTACTTTTGCATTTAATTTGTTTCGTTTATTTCATTCACTCTTTGTTCATTTACAGGGGCCATTTTACCCACCAAGACTAGCAATTAATATACCCTGCCCAATGAAGGCTGATTGGAGATAATGGGAGTAATTCTCCAGTGTAGCTAGAGAATTTAGGAAAGTTTGATCTTTTGCATATATCAATTGCTGCCCTTCCAGCAATCTGCCTTTAATATATTTCATGTAGTCCCTTTTCCCTCCAAAAGGCCATTGATAGTAGAATAAATGGTTCAGTTGTTATATACATTTTTTCATGCCTTATTTTCACACTGTGTATAAGGTAACCATCCAGATGCAGTGTGGGTGAATATGTCAATATGTGAATTGGCCTTGCGTGGTGTGTCACTAGCTACCTTGTACCTACATTCCCTTGGCAATATGTGTGACTACTTCTCCTACTGTACTTCGGTGTGACGCCAACACACTGTTTTCTACTTGGCGCCTTTATGTTTTCCTGTTCTCGGCTGCCACTGGCTCTTTGCTACTACAGAAATAAATCTCAACAGTTAGAGGAGCCAGAGACTGCATAGCGTAGCTATCCAATAGGGAATAAAACTGGAAGGGGATGCAGCACTATAACTAGTTATATGATTTAGTTAGGCATAGAGATTTGGGTACATGCTTGAATATTTGAAACTGGAAAAGTTAGACTCATTTGACTAGTGCTAGAGTAGAAGAATAAGAATAGCATGAGAAGTGAAATTTGATTGGCAGGAAAAGATCCCAAGACAAGCCCGATATGGACAGAAGTGCCAGCCAAACAAGTAATGGTTAGATTCACAAATTGAATTGAATCAAGCTATAATGTAGTTATTTGATTTGGTATTAATGCAATGTGAAAAGCTGCTATTATAGTTTCTAAGCCGTGATTTATGTGCTTTATGTGAATCAAATTACAATAGCTTGTTCAACAGTGTAGTTGAACTTGGGTTTAGCACAATGTGTGAATCCAGCAGTGAAACACTTTGATAATATTGTTCCTAGCAAGGTAGCTATTTTCAGAATTAGGAAATTGCGGATGGTAAATTTCATGTAACATTAAGCAAACATTATTTCTTGTTCATAAAGCTGGTAAGAACTGCGATACAGTGGGGCCTTAGCAGGTCAGCAGATCTCTTTCACTGATGGTGTTTAAGGAAAGGCTAAATAGTGCTGTAAGCACAGGTTGTCCTCGACTTACAACAGTTCATTTAGTGACCATTTGAAGTTACAATGGCACTAAAAACTGATTTATGACTGTTTTTCACACTTACAACCGTTGCAGCATCTCCATGGTCACATGATCAAAATTGAGATGCATGTGGTAATTGACTCATTTATGACGGTTGCAGTGTCCCAGGGTTATGTGATCCCTTTTGACAAGCAAAGTTAATGGAGAGGCTAGATTCATTTAACAGCTATGTTACTAACTTAACAACTGCAGTGATTCACTTAACAACTGTGGCAAAAAGGTCATAAAATGGGGCAAAATTCACTTAACAATTGTTTCCTTTAGCAATTGAAATCTTGTGCTTAATTGTGGTCATAGGTTGAGGACTACCTGTATAGGATTCTTCAATTGAGCTGGACTATATGACCTCAAAGCCCCGATTTTATGATAGTATGTTATTTTATATACACCATTTCCCAAGTAGAAAATGGATAACTTATGAAAGGGTCCTAATTTTTAGAATCCCTACAGATTAAAGTGAATCAAAGGTAATTTCTACCAACATGTTTTTTTTTCTTTTACAATAATCTACATGCATTTTTTTTCTAATTCCTTGAGGAAGACCAGAGGAAGAGAGTCCCTTTCATTATTATCTTTTCAGAGATTTTCCTGCTGAGCTGTTTTTCTTCCCGCACTGGGGGTTGGGATAGAAACCTATATATTTTCTTCCATAGCAGACAGAATGAAGCTGTTTAAGAAGTATCTCCCTGCACTGGTTTCTCATGAAAAATTATAGCTTTCCATCTGCATTTCATAAAAGGAAGGCGGGGGAATGAGGCACGAGTTGGGAATTACATACATCTCGGAGACACACAGTCAAGGTTTCTTGGTAGCTAAGGCAGAAATCCACTGAAATTGATTTTATTATATATTTTGACTGGGAACGATGAGAACATTAAAGGAATGTTCCCTCTTTGTGCACAGATGTTGCACTTGATTCGTGAGATACTGTATGCTGACTCCTCTGCTCTCAACATTGCTAACATCTCCACTTTTGTATATCTAAGGTATACAAAGCAGCTCTGTTTTGTACGTTCAGCATCTTGCGTGCAAACAAGTGCAAAAAATCCTCACAAATATTTTTGTATGCTGCCTGTCTCACTATATACCTCTGGGCGAGGGGCATGCTTATTTTCTCAGGCATGGCATCTTCTGCCTATTTCCTTCTTTGCACTCACGGTGAATATTTTCACTAAGAGTTTCTCTTGTATAGTTCCACCTGAGGATTTAGAAAATCTCCACCCTTCAAAATCACATATCTTATTAATGGAGATATTAATGGTCATCTGGCTCTTTGCATGTTCCTCAGGTTTGGGTCCCCTCCCTCTCAATAGGCACTGGGCTGTGTGTGAACCATCTCCTGTTTCCCTGCCTTGAACTGGGATGACGTTCTAGAAATCACTTCCTAAATCTGAAGGTTGCTAAGAAACCACCCTAGGGCTGTCAGGGAGATCGCTAAGCGACACCCTCTCCTCACTTGCCAATTACATCACACCTGCCAATCAACTGTGGTCCTGTCTCATTCCAAATGTGCTTGGCTCAACTCTGCCATCAGCAGCTGAGCACCCAAATGCTTTCCCGCCCCCATTTTGTCTTCCAACTTCCTGGAGAAGATCCATGGTAGCCTCCCTGAGCAAGTCCTCCCTCCCAGCTCTTCTAGACCACCACATTCCCTCCCTCCCACATGACTTGCATATTATGCTTACCTTACGGAGGCTGGAGATAGGGGACTCACATATAGAGGGGCTTCGGCTAGGATCGCTGTTACTATGGCAACCCAGGGATGTTTACAGAAACGGCTCAGCCAAAGATAGGGATCGGGGATAAGGGGGATAGCTGGTGAGGGGATTCTGATGCTGGCTTGCTTCTGAGGTATTCATACACAAGCTTCATACACAAGAAAGAGCTGTGAGGGTCAGTTTAGTTTTGCAGCTCTTTAGAAACCCAAACCTTACAATAATGGGACATCACCTGTTCATGATCCTGAGTCAAGTCTCTGATGAGTTGGTTTAGCTATAAATGCACTTGTTTGGGGTGTGTGTGTGTGTGTGTGTGTGTGTAAGTTAGTGAGAACAACAGAGGAACACTGTGATATGGTGAATTATATAATTTACTACAGTTATATCAATAAAGGAGAATATTTGTAGCTCAGAGTTGAAAGGGGGGGGGTCCTTGGTGCTTTTGAGCTTGGTTGTTTTCTTGCAGACGTTTCATTACCCAAACATCATCATCAGTACTAGTCATCTATTGCTAGTAACATCATCACTAGCACTGATGATATTACCGAGTTTGGGTAATGTAACATCTGCAAGAAAACAACCAAGCTCAGAAAGCACCAAGGACCCCTCCTTACAGTTATATGTTCACACTGCAGAGCAACTCTTGGGCGACTTACAATTAAAATCATGAATATAAAAATATTAAAAATAAGCCGCCTCAGCTCAAAGAGACGGACCGGTTGTAAAGTTGGAGTGAGAGGTCCATAGCTAAAGATTCCTGCTGTTTTTCAATTAAAGCTTTTAATCTGCTGCTGCTTTGCCTCATTTCTGGAACTTTTAGAGGGTCTGGAGCAAATTGTCTTTTTTTGTAACCTTCTAGTCCTCCCCACCTTTTTTTCTTTTAATATACCACACAAAATCTGTTAAGGAGGGAAGTTTGGGTAACTGCAAAGTGTCTTGATTAGACAGCAAGGAACTCTCCATCTGGAACCACCCTTTTGCAAACATCTTCTCTCCTCCTGCCTCCAGTTTGGTCCAATCTCTTCCCCCGCTGAGCTGGGTACTCAGATATTGTCCCTGCTTGTTGCCATAGAGACCCTCTTCCAAATCTCAGGCCTAAAGCTGCAGAAGGAAGAAGAGGTGGGGAGGGGGAGATTGTAGGTGAGAAGAAAGTCACTCTCTTGCTCCACACATGCCCTCCTGGATTAACATCTTGGCTTTCCCTCAACAAGTTCCAGTGGCTTGCATTAAGCCGGAGACTCAAGATCAATACTGTAAAATATTTGCTGACTTGCAGACAAACAACTGCAGGTGTCGTTTTAAAATGTCATGTCTGGCATGTTGGCTCAGAATTCATGCTTTCTGAGCAATTTGGTATGTTTCTCAGAATGTCTTTAGGCCTTTTAAAAAAAATTCATATACTAAAAGAGCGCCTCAGATGCAGCCCTGTATTCTTGGAATACTTTTTAAATTTGATTTTTTTTTTTACATGTAAGCAGAAACTGATGCACTCTCAAGTAGGGCTAGGCTGGAAATTGAAGAATAGGATTTTTACATGTGCACACAGACCATAGACCAATCTGTCTTGTGAATATAGTACAGGTAGGCCCTCGACTTAAACTACAATTGGGATCAGAATTTCCATTCCGAACCAGGTGGTTACTAAGTGAATCTTGTTTGATTTTGCAATCTTTTTTTGGTTGTTAAATGAATCACTGCAGATGTTAAGTGAATCTGGCTTTCCTCACTGAGTTTGCTTGTCAGAAGCTGGCGGTGAAGGTTGCAAATGGTGATCACATGACCCTGGGATGCTGCAATTGTCATAAATACAAGCTGGTTGCCAAGAGTCTGTTTATGTGATCATGTGACTGTGGGGATGCTGCAATGGTTATAAGTGTGAGGATTGGTCGTAAATTACTTTTTTCAATACTGTTTTAACTTTGAAGGGTCACTAAATGAATGGTTGTAAGTCAAGGACTATGAATTATGCCTCAATTTCTTTTTTTATGTCTGGCACATCTTTGCTTAGGTTTTGAAAGTATTGTCCCTCCCCTTTAACTGTTTCAGTAAAGTCTTAAGAGTAAAAAAAGAACATGTAATATGGAAGGAGCATATATTATGGACGACAAGATTATAAGGTGAAGAGAGCAGGGCGTATATTTTATTGTAAATATTTACAGTTCTATCATCTTCAGTTTTGTATAGCTGAAGAGATTGGAGACTCAGTGTCTTCAAAGCAGATAGTAATGAATTAAGATAACACAACTTCACATGTTCCTTTTCTCTGTTGTCAGTTTCTGTCATCTTACCTTAGCATTCTTCTAACAAATAATGTTTTTAACTCTAAATTCTTAACAATATATTTTTTCTGGACTTCCATGTTCTTTCCCATTGTGTCTTTCTTTTACTGATTCCTTTGCCGAATTGCTTTTTCCCACATCAGACCTATATTTTTCATTAAACCTTTTCTTCTGTGTCCCCTTTCTCAGTATGCAGCTTTGTCGTACACAAAAGATGTCATGAATTTGTCACTTTTGAATGTCCAGGAGCTGGGAAAGGGCCCCAGACCGATGTAAGTGTCTTTCATTACAGAATTCTGTGTCTTTTGAGAGATAAGTGAGATTGTGGTGAGAAAAAAATATATTTTGGGGACAGTTGGAAACTTGGACAGTGGGTCTCTCCCTCCATTCCAGGTGAACGTCCTGGTTTCCTTGCTATTTATATTGCTGACAGAGGGAATGAATACTTTCAGCAGCTGGCATGGTCCTACTTCTGTTGTCCTTGGCCTGAAATATTAAGGAATAAACTAGAAAAGATGGGAAGATTTGCCTTTTCTCTTTCAGAAGCACAAAATTTGCCAACTTTTTTTCTTGCATAAAATTTGGGGGTATATTCAGCCATTCTGGATGCAAAAGCAGATTTATGCCATACTGAGGCAAACATATTTCCTTGTGTACATCATTTGTTCTGCTGTGGAGAAAATACACAAGCATGCATGCACACACACACACACAGAGAGAGTGGTTGGATAGTGTAATTGTTAGAGCGCAGCTTTTGATGCTACCTGCCATGAAACATTTCATGATCTTTTCTGTATTTATATTATTATTAGATTGTTTTTATCCTGCTTTTATTACTTTTTTCTAAGTAATTCAAGACAGTGAACATATCTAATACTCCTTCCTCCCCCTGCTTTCTCCACAACAACCCTGTGAGGTGGGCTGGGCTGAGAGAGAAGGACTGGCCTAAAGTCCACCAGCTGGCTTTCATGGCTAAGGCAGAATTGTATCCTGGTTTGTAGGCCAATATCTTAACCGCTATACCAAATTGGCTTTTTCTATATGGTGAGAAAAGGGAATATAGGCTTTCTAGAGATGATGGTGGGAATTCAGATAAACAAAAGTGTTGTTTTCTGGCTGCCACACAATAATGGATACGTGCCTTCACTAATTACATGTGTTTATAAATTTTCTCTTTTGCAGGATCCCCGGAATAAGCATAAGTTCAAAACCCATAGCTACAGCAGTCCCACTTTTTGTGATCATTGTGGCTCGCTCCTGTATGGACTAGTGCACCAGGGGATGAAATGCACCTGTAAGTAAGCATTAATTGTTCTCTAGAGTTGTGTGGATTGTTACAAGAAAAAGAATTAAAATGCTGTTACCTAAATAGTAGAAATGATTGTCACAAAACTAAGGGCTGCTGTGGCATGGAAAAAGTCCCCAGTTTTAATATTATATCCCTCCTTAATACACAAGGCAGGAAGATAAATCATATTTTTATTATTAATAGTATGGTTGGCTGCACAATCGGTCAAATGGTTAGATTGGATTTTGCATTTTATTCCTTTATTCCTTCTCATGGACCTAGGATAGGCAAATATTGTTCAATGATGTTAAAGTTATTGTCACAGGATGTAAGCTGTTCTAAGTAAAGCTGCCTAAGAAGTGCTCCAGATGTTTTGGGATTCCACCCAAGGTGTCTATGACTATGGCTACTGTCTTTGCTTTTTTTTTTTTTGCCACAGTTGTCTATTTATGTTTGCAGGTTTTTGTATTTTGTGATTCCCCCCCCCCCCATTTCTTCTATCATGTTGTCTCCATTGCTACTGCAATATTTACCATCTGAACTTTTTTCTTTTTTATTGACAATTGTTAAGTCTGGCTTGTTATATGGCATATGATAGTCTGTTTGAATTTTAAATTCCCAGAGCACCTTAGCTTCTCCATCTCTATTACATTTGTTTATTTTGTGGTCCCACCAATTCTTGCTTGCAGGCAAATGGTATTTTTTGCAGATATTCCAATGCACCATTGTTGCTACTTTGTCATGCTGTTGTTGGTAGTCAATCTGTGCAATCTTCTTGCAACAGCTAACCAGGTAATTCACTGTTTCTTTAGCTTCCTTGAAGAGGTGGCACTTGCTATCTGTTGCTGTCTTCTCGGCAATGGCTTTGTTCTTAAGGCTTGGTGTTGGGTAGCCATAAGTAGCCACTGTGTTTCTTTCTTTTTCTGCTTTTATTGATCAACAGGACATGTTATTTGCTTTGCCTACTGTTAGTTTTTTAATGTACTAGCCATGTAAGCCTTTGCCCTACCCTGCCTCTTTTCTATTCTTCATTTAGTCTCTCTTATAGGTCAATTTAATCTCTCTGGTATTTAGTAAGCCTTCGTGGTATACTAGCTTTTTCACTGTCCTTCAGATATTCTTCCAATATTAGTAGTAGTTTGTGTGTGTATGTGCATAACAACATACACAATATAATTTAAAGGTGAGAGTCTGCATTCGTCTAAAATACTCTACATAGCATGTGCTAGAAAAACTGGTTGCTTTCAATAATCAGTAGTTCAAGTTTAGTTCAGTGGCTGCTTTATTTATTTTTTTAAAGTTAATTCCAACCCTTATTCTTTCATTCTTCTACACTTGATACACACTTTAAAAAGTGATAAAGAAGTATCATTTTCTTCCTACTGTTCCCTTTTGGGCAGCAAAATGAGTTTGTAAAATAAAATATTGCACTTCAGATAGGCAAGAGATACAACTTTGGTGTGCTGCCTCACAGGAGTTCTTCTCATGTATTGAGCTTATCTGCTTATTGGAAACTTTTTTTACATGAACAGAGCTTCTCAGGTTTCCTGGAAATATTAAAATGTGACCCTCCATCTACGACTTCAGTAGTAACACTCTGTTGTGAATCTTACTATCGTAGGTTTTTGAAAGTGACTGTAGATGAAGATTAAGTGACTTTAAAATTGTAAGCCTTGTGGAGTTCAGTGACAGCCAAATAACCATTAGCTGGATAGATTACAATATTTATATCTGGCATACACAGAAAATCTGATGCAATTTTGTAACTTCATTATAACAAGGCAGCTCTATCAATTCTGGGCGTACAGAAGTAGATTCATCTGAAATTTACACCCCCAGGGATGTAGAAATATGAAAATACATACAAAAAGAGATTTTCTGTAACCCATTGCAGTCAGTATCTAGGAATTTAGGAGCTATAACTGAGAAGCCATTGCATCAAATATGGGTACCTGAATGTAAGTATGTTAAAGGGCAATAATTAGTTTCTTTAATGGAAGATGTAGCCAATATTATGGTTTTGCTTTCTCCCAAAGATTTAGAGTGGATCTCTGCAATCAGTTATAGAACAGATGGTGAACAGCCTTCTGCTAATTTGCTGAATCTGACCTATGCTTTTTCCGAGATAGGCTTGCAAACACAGCCAAATGGCTTCTCCATTTCAAGCGTAATATCAGAAAGATGTTTGCATGTAGCAAAGAAGACTGTTATCTCATTAGAAGCATCTTAGTTAATAAATGATATGGACTTGTGATTAATCTTTTTGTAAAAAACAAAGTATATATTGCTTGTTATATGATGCAGCCATAAGCTGCAAGCTGGCACTCTCCTAAACGGGACTCCCTCCTCTTGTTGTTAGTTGCGAAGTCGTGTCCGACCCATCGCGACCCCATGGACAACATTCCTCCAGGCCTTCCTGTCCTCTACCATCTTCTGAAGTCCATTTAAGCTCACACCTCCTCTATAAATGAATAAAAAAGAAATCTCTCTCTCTCTCTTTTTTAAAAAAAGATACCTTTCATCTAGGACATTTGTAACTTCCTGTAGTAAAATATTTAACTTACAGAAAAAATGTGATTTCACTAATTGAAGGCGTATTTTAAATTAGAAGTAGTAAAATATTTAACTTACAGAAAAAATGTGATTTCACTCATTGAAGGCGTATTTTAAATTAGAAATTTCTGCACGAAGCAGAAATCTGTTTTCATTTGAACTTGGAACAAACAGATCCACTTGAAATATCCTAGAATGAATGTTTTGTTCTGATGTGTCAACTCTTTGAAGTAGGCAGGGTCAAGAAACACAGAAATTCCAATAATGCTGCTTTATTGTAGTAGAATATATTAACAGAATCTTGAAATCCTATCCTAGTGGTTCTCAGTCTCAGCAATTCTAAGATGGGTGGACTTCATCTTCCAGAATTCCCCAGCCAGTACGGCTAGAGAATTCTGGGAGTTGAAGTCCACCCATCTTAAAGTTTCTTTGGTTGAAAAATACTAAACACTGTCCTATTCAAGTTTCTCTCTGTCCTTTATTATACTAATAAAATCAAAGTAGGGTTTCTTAGTTTCTTTCTTATGCTTTCTTCAAACTCTGGACAATGTAAATGCATCTCCTGGACAGTTGTTTTATACCAAGTTCATACAATTCCTTTATACAATCTTGGAACAAACTCTTAGAACACGCACATTTTACATCAAGCTTACAATATCCAGAAGATTGAATTGATTGGATGTGAGGTTGCTTCCTGTGGTCAGAACTCTAGGAATTCTGAAATATTGTTGAATTTTTGAAATAGGTAAATGTTGTGCTGATTGCTGTTTTGTCCTGACCTCAGAAGGCAAATGCAAAGCTCAGAACACTCAAACTAACCATATTTAAGTTAAAAGGTTTTGAAAATGAAAATCCTAAAATTTATTTATTAATATTTAGAAAAAAATCTTTCAATGTAAGCAATAAATTGAACCTGTGTTAAGAGTAGGGAAATCTATTCTCTTTATGCCCATTTGCTTTCAGCTGATTTGCCAACCTTTGTTGCCCCCTGCAGGCTGTGAGATGAATGTGCACAAACGCTGTGTCCATTGTGTTCCCAGTTTGTGTGGCGTTGACCATACAGAGCGCCGTGGACGCCTCCAACTTCACATTGAGACATTTGGGAGTGATGAGATCCGGGTGACTGGTAAGAAAATGGTGGCATTGAGGTGTATTGGAATTGGACACATGAGTTTACTCACTTATTAATGTCTTATTACAGTGATGGCGAACCTTTTAGAGACCGAGTGCCCAAACTGCAACCCAAAACCCACTTAAGCATCGTTGAGTGCCGGGTGGGTGTGGCCAATTGGGTGGGCGTGGCCCATTGAGTGGGCATGGCTGCGGTGGTAACGGCAGACTGGGTGGGACTAAAAAGTTCAATCAATCAATTTCAACTTTGCAAGATCTTTTTTTTTCCTGCGAGAAGTTGAAATTGACTGATTGAACCTTTTTTTTTTTTTGCACACGGAGGCGGAGGCCTAAAGTGAAAAGGTTTTATAAAACCCAGCTGAAGGCCTAGGACTGGGGTGACATCGCGCGTGCCCACAGAGAGGGCTCTGAGTGCCGCCTCTGGCACCCGTGCCATAGGTTCGCCACCACTGTCTTATTAGATGTCCTATTCTCTAGATTTCAATATTGAAGCTTATATTGGTGGCATCATCGGGAACTAGACCAGGGGTAGGCAACCTTGGCTCTTTTATGACTCGTGGACTTCAACTCCCAGAATTCCTGAGCCAGCACAGCTAGGCCTTTTTGGGGGTAGTCTTCCAAAAAGAATTTACTTTGCTATTCTGCCTTTTATATGGTGGGTTACATTGATTCAGTTTACCCAGATTTTTGATGAGCTCAAAGAATTCTAACATTCCTTTAACGCTGCTATTAATTGCCTCTTATAATTAAAAGTCAGATAGAAAGTGATAGGATACGAGCACTAGAAACTTTATAAAAAGAAAGCAAGCTGAAGAAAGTGGGACTCCTATTTTGTTTATGAATCAAAACCTCTTCATTCTTCCCTTAAGGAATTAGGAGCTTTTGGAAAGAGGTAGAAATAAGGAAGCCCTCAGGGCCAAGCTAGCTTGGAAAAGATGGGAGAAGGCACGGAAGTGAGAATGCAGTACTGTTTGCCTAACATCATTTCTCTTTTCCAAGTAACAATCGTTTGCAAATTTGGGATGTGTACTCATGAGGGCAAACACACTTTTGCTAATGGCAGTCCTCGGGAAAACTTCAGGATTTTGCTAAAATATCCAAGGCAAACAAATTGTTTCTGGGCAATAGTTTCCATTATTTTCCCATCTTTGGATATGCAGAGCTAGCTTCTGAACTTGCAGTTTCTACATAGATTATCAGTTCTGTCTTTGTCTCAAGATAAGATCACTTAGTTTATTAATATTCCATGCTTGTAACTATAATACCTCAAAGGAACTTGATTGATATTTTGAAAAGTCTACCTGGGAGTGGCATAGATTTTTGGGGGTTGATGAAATTGATCAGGTAGGCACAAGTATTTTGGGGAAGGAGCTCTAAACATTTCAAATTTCTTTATTTTATTTCTTTATTCCACTTCTGTAGCTGCCCAATTCAATCAGGTGATCAACTACCTTCAGCTTAGTATTGTACGTAAAAACTACTCTTGATTCTTTAATGCCACAAATTAAAAGGCCTCATTTTAAAGCATTGATGAATATGCCTTCAGCCAGCGCAAGCTCTAGTCCACGATGTAAAAAAGATGCTGAGACTCTAGAAAGAGAAGAGCAACAAAGATGATCAGGGGACTGGAGGCTAAAGCATATAAGGAACGGCTGCTGGAATTGGGTATGTCTAGTTTAATGAAGAGAAGGACGAGGGGGGACATGATAGCAGTGTTCCAATATCTCAGGGGCTGCCATAAAGAAGAGGGAGTGAAGCTATTCTCCAAGGCGCCTGAAGGCAGGACAAGAAGCAATGGATGGAAACTGATCAAGGAGAGAAGCAACTTAGAACTAAGGAGAAACTTCCTGACAGTTAGAACAATTAACCAGTGGAACAACCTGCCTCCAGAAGCGATGAATGCTCCAACACTGGAAGTTTTTAAGAAGAGACTGGACAGCCATTTGTCTGAAATGGTGTAGGGTTCCTGTCTGAGCAGGGGGTTGGACTCGATGACCTCCAAGGTCCCTTCCAACTTTATTATTATTATTATTATTATTATTATTATTATTATTATTATTATTATTATTATTATTATTATTATTATTATTATTATTATTATTAATCCTTCTTACAAACGAGTAAACTAATCCTTCTTACAAACGTTTCTGCGATAAAAAATTTCAGCATATAGGGAGCAAAATGAGCTGTAGCAGACATCCACAAATCTTTTTCCCTCCACTTGTTTCAGAGACGGCTACAATGAATTATATAAATACAAGCATGTTTGCTCCCTTTGCATTTTTAAAACATATAGTTAATTCTTTCGCAATTCGTTTACGATCCAAGATTCAGCTTTTTATTTGGTTCTGCTGTTCGATGTAAAATCCCCGTGCACCTTCCTGTGCATATTGCAGGGGTAGTCAACCTTGCTCTTTTATGACTCGTGGACTTCAACTCCCAGAATTCCTGAGCCAGCTGTGCTGTGCTGGCTCAGGAATTCTGGGAGTAGAAGTCCCCGAGTCATAAAAGAGCCAAGGTTGACTACCCCTGGCATATTGCATATCTCTCTCTCTCTCTCTCTCTCTCTCTCTCTCTCTCTCTCTCTCTCTCTCTCTCTCTCTCTCTCTCTCTCTCTCTCTCTCTCTCTCTCTCTCTCTCTCTCTCTCTCTCTCTCTCTCTCTCTCTCTCTCTCTCTCTCTCTAAGTTGCACAACCTTCCCTTTTCATTCGAAGAGGGATTAACTTATTGTCATGAAAAATAGATGAAAGTAATGAATAATAAAAATATTAAAGAGTAATGAAAAATAGAGGCAACCCAGGTGATGGGACTGGAGGCTGGAAGGCTCTTCAAAACAGAAGAGGATTGCAGCACCAACAACAAGACAGTCGCGGTTTTGATGGGCCAGGCTGAAGAATGGTTCTGATTGGGGTGGTGAAGGCTGGGCACCTGGGTTCTATTCCTAGCGGCAAAGCTTGACATTCCCCTCCTCTGCTTTTCACACCTTCCCCTGCACACTTTATCACTGTCTTTCTCCCGCATTCTGGAACACCAGCATGTAGGTGGTGACGAGAAAGCCACTGTTGCATTCTCCTTGACAGAAGGGGATTTCCTCACCCACCCTACCATCCCCTTCACCCCCATGCACACACACACACACACACACACACACACACACACACACACGCAAACACACACAAGATGCTGCCGCAGCAGTTTTCCAGGACCCACAGCAGGTGGCCCAGGAAAGATGCCAGAAGTTCCTCCTCCCTCAGCCCACCAGCACACACAGGAGGTCTGCCTTCCTGCCCACTCACCCTTCCCTCTGGTACAAGGACGCAGTTGGAAGCTAATAATCTTTTTTAGAAGCCGATATCACCGTTTCTGTTTCCCTCCCCTCCCTCCTTTCCGTACCAGTTGGAGAAGCGCTGAACTTGATCCCGATGGATCCCAACGGTCTCTCCGATCCTTATGTGAAACTCAAGCTGATTCCTGATCCAAAGAATCTCACAAAGCAAAAGACCAGAACCGTCAGGTCCACTCTTAATCCTATCTGGAATGAAACCTTTGTTTTGTAAGTAGAGGCAGGAGAGGCCTCAGGCCTTATTTATCAAATTTAGAAGTTGTGGGAGGAGGTGTTTCATGGTGCTGAGCAGCTCTGTGGCTGTGCGCTCCTCTGTGAGCCCCAAGCAAGATGGCAGAATCAGGTCTTTAGACATTTCTGAAAGACCAGGATACTGGAGGCCTGGCTCACCTTTGGGGGAAGAATGTTCTAAAGGGTGGGAGGAACAGCAGAGAAGGCTCTTTTCCTGACAGTCGGAATCCTTTAACTCAGGGGTCTCAAATTTAGCAACTTAAGACTTGTGGACTTCAACTCCCAAAATTCCCCAGCCAGCCATGCTTTAGCGGGACCAAGTGGGACAGGCTGATATAATGGGGCAAAGATGGTTCTATAGGTCAGGGCTTTTCAACCAGTGGTACGGGTACCACCTGTGGTACTTTGGCACCTGGCAGGTAATACGCAACCATCCTAGAAAAGTGGTAGCGGGGGAGGGGAATGAGCTGAACCGGTGGCAGCACCGCACAAGCCTGAGCGAGAGACGGCTGGAGCTGCAGGGCTGTCAGGGCTCAGCGGAAGCACCAGGATGAGTGCCGCTTTCCAGCTGATCGGCGCTTCTTCGGGGCTGTCAGGGCTCAGCGGAAGCGCCAGGATCAGCGCCAGGCTCCAGCTGGAGCTCAGCGCTGATCCTGGTGCTTCTGCTGAGCCCAGAAGAAGCGCCGATCAGCTGGAATGTTGCAGCATCTCCAGGGTCTTGTGATTTACATTCAGATACTTGGCAACTGATTCATATTTATGATGGTCACAGTGTCCCAGGGTCATGTGAAGTGACCAAAACCTGCTGCAACCACCCAGCAGACAAGGGGGGGAAGTAAAAACCAAACACCCCCCCACCCCCGCTGCCAATCCTCAACAGAAATGCTCACAACAATGAAAACCTCGGACAGGAGGAAGAGCGCCACCAGGCGGGCAGGCAGGCGTCTTGCTTGGCTGTGGCTTGGGGGGCATTTTTTTCAGTGCCATTGTAACTTCGAACAGTCACTAAGCGAACTGTTGTAAGTCGAGGACTACCTGTACTTTATCAGTTTTTTCCTTTTTTTTTTTTTTGGTCATCATGTTTTTGACAGCTTGCTAGGCGACGGGTGGTACATGGATATTGCCACATCCTAAAAGTGGTACAATGGGTGAAAAGGTTGAAAAGCCCTGCTATAGGTAACCTGGCCCTATGCCATGTGGAGCTTCAGAGATCATAGCCAACACTTGAATTGGACCCGGAAGCAAATCACCACCGAGTGCACCTTGCTCAGCAGAGGGGTTTCATGCATCATTCTTTGGGCTCCCAAAATCGATCGTGCAGCCTCATTCCATACCAGCTGAAGCTTCCGGATGCTGCTCAAGGGTAGAACTCCTTACAATAATCCAAGTGGGAGATGACCAGGGCATGAGTGACCGAATGGAGAACCTTCCTATCCAGGAAAGAGCACACAACATGAAATAATAAGGAAATTGGTTTACTTCAGGTTTTTTTGATCTCCTTCTTTCTCTTTGTCACTCAACAGCACCCTGCAGCCAGGTGACATGGATCGGCGCCTCTCCATCGAGGTCTGGGACTGGGACCGGACAACCCGCAATGACTTCATGGGCGCCATGTCCTTTGGAGTCTCTGAGCTGTTCAAGGGCCCCCTGGAAGGCTGGTAAGGGGAAATCTGTTGGGTAGGAAAAAATGGAAGAGAACAATGGAGCAATTCAGTGGGCCACCAGTGCTCATATTCTCTCTCTTTCTCCGTCTTGGCGTCTTTTTGGATTTTATCTGTTTGCTTGGTTGGCACCATCCTCTTTCTCTGTCTCGCTCTCTTCTTCTTTAATTTAACCCTGCAAATATCTCCCATTTTTGGCTTCCATCCATTCATTCTGTTCCCCTCTCCCTGTTTCCTTCCATTTTCTTCCCCATCATCCCTCTTGCTCATTCGCTCCCTCTTTTGTCCACTTCCGCCCTGCCCAATGTCCCTGTCTGCGTTGCTGTCCCAGGTACAAATTGCTCAATCAGGAGGAGGGCGAATATTATAGTGTCCCTGTGGCGGATGCAGAAAACTGTGGGCTGCTGCAGAAATTTGAGGTAACCATGTGGCTCCATGACAATGTTTGGATTGGTACCCCATACGCTGTACACTGAGCCGTACGCTGAGCTCTGCCACACAACACCAGCAAAACTGCCCTTTCTTATCCTCTGGGACAGTTTTACCCAGTGCAGTTTGCAAGAAGCTCACTGAGAGATGGGATGGGGTGGGTGACCAGCAAGAGCTCTTCCGGTCAGCAGACAAAAATTAGAAGCAACACTCTGCAGGCTCTAAAAAAAGAATCTGGTTTTCCAGTAGAGCCACTTGCAATGTTCTTCGTATTTCACTGTTATCCCATAGATGAGGCGCGTGACTCAGTGGCTTAATGATGCTGGAGATGGTCTTTGCTTCAGCGGTTTGAGTCCTAGCACTGCATGGTGGAGCGAGCTCCTGTCACTCAGCTCACCTTCTGCCCACCTGGCAGTTCGAAAGCATGTTATATGCGAGTAGATAAATAGGTACCACTTCGGTGGGGAGATGAGCCGGAGCTTCATGCAGAGGGTTAGAATCCTGCTGGAAAGGGACCTTCCCAATTGCCACATCCATTTGCAAGCCAAGTGAGAGTTTGGAGGAGGGAAAGGGCCCCGGATGCTGCTTCAGGAAAGCCCCTCGTCTTTCTTTCTGGTGCGGAACTAGCTCGCCCCCTGTGGTGCGCTTTGGAAAGTGTGTGACCGTGAACCGAACAGAGCTAGCAGTCTTAGGTAGCCAAACTACTACTCGGCATTAGCAGTGTAGTCTCCTGGCTAATTTACATTGGCATACGCTAAACAAACCAACCAACCCATAAATGTTACCTTTTAAAGGCAGTTTGGGCCGTGTGTGATATACTCACTGTGTTGTATGTAGCCTTCACAGTTTTAGGATCTACTGTGACAAACACAGATCAGCTCTAATATATGAGGCAAAATGATAGATGGTCCAGAGAAGATTTTAGCAACTCCCTCTAGCTATTTTTTTCTGGGAGAACACAGAGCTGTGTGTTTTATCCTGACCCGAGTCTGCTGAAATGGGATTCATGATCTCATCATTAGCATTGAAACAAGTCTCGATTCTCTTCTCTGGATGGAGAGAAGCATCTTGTCCTTTGCCTTAGACAACTAAATTTCTTGAGATGTCCTATAAATGGTTGTCGGGTGGTCTGGTTTAAGAATGGGCAGAAATTACATTTTTAATGAAGAGGCAGGATAGAACAGAGGTTATTCAGGCAGCTATTTACATCTTGATGTTTTGTTTTCCAGGCTTGCAACTTCCCTCTGGAACTCTATGAGGTATAAAATTTTCTTCTGTTTCTTTTATTTTGAGATGGGGGGAAGGATGGATCCTTTCGCTGCCACAAAAGCATCCACCAAAGTTCACCGTAGGTTAGTGAAAGAAGGAAATGCAGGACACAAGAGCAGAGAAAGAGCCCACTTGAACCCTTGAATCTACTGATGTTCATCTAATCTTTTTGTTTTTAGGACCAATTATGTTATTTTTTGGCTACTTGCAGTAAATTACCCAACTTTGATCCCTTCTAGTAGCTGTTGTTATGCTCCCTCTGAACTTGGAAACATGTCCTTAGCTAATGTGCTTAACAGTCACAGATATGTCTCTCCTTGGGAGCATTGTTGGCTGAATCTCAGTGTTTAATTCTGGGGGAAAAGCATGTCCTTAGATCTGTCCATAAACTGGAAGGAGGAAAATGGAGGTGGTAAATACTTTTGAAGCTAAAGTATGAGAGTAGGAAAGATAACACCAGAATCACTGGGATGAATCCACTTATTTGTGGCCTTCCCAGAAAGCAGTTCAGATAGTCCTCATGTTATGACCAAAATTGAGCCCCAAATTTCTGTTGCTAAGCAAGGCAGTTGTTAAGTGGGTTTTGCTCCATTTTACAACTTTGTGTCACAGTTAAGTGAATCATGCAGTTGTTAAGCAAATCTGGCTTACCCCATTGACTTTGCTTGTCAGACACCAGCAGGGAAGATTACAAATGTGATCACATGACCCGGGGGACACTGCAACCGTCATAAATACGAGCCAGTTGCCAACCGTCTAAATTTTGATAACGTGACCATGGGGATGCTGCATTGGTCATACAGGAAGTCACTTTTTTTAGTGCTGTTTAACTTCAAATGGTGACTAAATGAACGGTTGTAAGTTGAGGATTACCTGCACCTTGAATATAAGTCTTCTAGCTTGGAGATTACTGGGTGTTACCACTGGGATTTTCTCCCTAAAAAAACTGGGTCTGGAGTCATGGCAAATTTCTCAGTTCACTGTGGATCTGCCCTGATTCTGTAATGACTTCACAGATCCTCTTGCGAAGAAAGTTGATTTGCAACTGCATATGTATCAAAATCACTCCATTGTTCATGGAGATTCTCAGTCATCCAGGTCATGGTTGTCCCAAAGGTGCTTTTTCAGGAGGCAACTGGACTTCCTTGTTTTTCTTTGAAGATGTTTCACTTCTCATCCAAGAAGCTTCTTCAGCTCTGACTGGATGGTGGGGAATGGAAGGATTTATACTCCTTGCAGACAGCTGGTCCTTTGCATTCTTTTGGAGAGTTATTGAGGTCACTTGGAGCTGAAGAAACTTCTTCTAATCCAGTCTGATCTGAAGAAGCTTCTTGGATGAGAAGCGAAACATCTTCAAAGAAAAACAAAGAAAGTCCAGTTGCCTCTTGAAAAAAGCACCTTTGGGACACTCCATTGTTCATTCTCACACACTCCCTAATATCTAAGACTTTAACCGTATGTATTAAATGTACCAGCATCCATTTCAAAGGTATGAAAAAGCAGCTGAACCCCCAAGGCACCCTCTTCGAAATGGCAGAGATTGCTGAAGTTTGCATGTAACTCCAGTTGTGATGCCCTTAATTCTGAGACTGCAGAATCTTCACGCCTGCGTTTCTTCATTTTTGCTTTGCAGAAGGTTCGCCATGGTCCTATCCCATCTCCATCTCCAAGCCCCACCGACTCCAAGCGGGGTGGATTCTTTGGCACCAACCGCTTCCATATCTCGGACTTCAACTTCCTCATGGTTCTGGGCAAAGGAAGTTTTGGCAAGGTGGGTCTGCCACTAGGCAGTGGCTCAGAGGTGCACAGAGAGGGAGGTACAAGGATGCAAGGACTGGCAGTGCCCAAATTGTGGGCCCTTGCCCAGGCAGAATTCCCGTAGGTCAGGTGGGAACAAGACCCAAGGCTCTGGGGTTCTTTCCCCACAGGTGATGCTAGCCGAGCGCCGGGCAACAGATGAGCTCTATGCCATCAAGATCCTAAAGAAAGACGTGATAATCCAAGATGATGATGTAGAATGTACTATGGTGGAAAAGCGGGTCTTAGCCATGGGGGAACGTCCACACTTCCTAACTCAGCTGCACTCTACCTTTCAAACGGCGGTAATTCTTATCTTGTCCAGAGTTATTTCATTAAACAAATATTAGCCCTTTAATTAAATAGATCGGGAGTGTCCAACCTTGGCAGCTTTTAAGACTTGGTGGACTTCATCTTCCAGAATTCTCCAGCCAGGTATGCTGGTTGGGGAATTGTGGGAGTTAAAGTTCATACGTCTTAAAGTTGCCAAGGATGGACACCCCTGGAATAGACTCTTATGAAAAAAACCCACTACTTTTTAGTTAATGAGGGCTTATTTATATAATCGAAGTATCTTTTATTTGGTGAACTGATGAAAGGATGCTAGAGGTTTTAGTCCCATTACATAAAAGGATGGTTAGGGAAATGAGAAAACAAGGTATTGGGGAATTCTGGGAGCTGAAGTCCACGCATATTAAAATGGCTGAGGTTGAGAAACACTGATTTAGGAAATACTTTAATTATTTAGTTTATTCATCAGGGGACGTATTCTGCTTTTTTTCCTTTAAGGACCGACTGTATTTTGTTATGGAGTATGTCAATGGAGGAGATCTAATGTATCACATCCAGCAGGTTGGGAAATTCAAGGAACCCCATGCTATGTACGTGAGTCTCTTTGGGAACTTGGCTGGGATTGCTTCACACTAATTGTATGTCAACCATCATGCAATCCAAAGAAAAGTTACTCTAAAAAATTAAATGCAGATTTTAAAAAACATGATTAGCTCCAGAGGATGGTAAGGCTGGTTATTTGCTCATCTGGTGTAATATTCTAGTCTAGTCCAGCCATGCACTATCACCAAACAGCAGCATTGTTCCTTGTTTTACTTCTCAGGTTATAAGAAGTCCTCGACATAGGACTACAATAGATTCTACAATTGTGGTCATAATTCATGACACTTATTAAGCAGGTCATCATGTCACTGTGCCCAGTTTCATGATCTTTTTAATGGCAGTTGTTAAGTGAACCCATTGTTACGGGGCAGTTTTTTCCCCAGAAACTGGAAGTAACACTGGTTGAAACATTTAGTTTGATTTTGAGAATCACGGGCAAGGATTTGTCCCAGCATCCAAGTCAGAAAGGTGGTAGACAACTAATCTGCATATACTAGAGGTGGGGAATGGAATTCTGGGAGTTGAAGTCCACAAGTCATAAAAGGGCCATTGTTCCCCATCCCTGGCATATACAATGGAAATAGGTGCATCAAACTCGGAGCCAAACCAAAGCCCGGTATGTTACATCACAACCTTCTGCTCTGGACTTCACATCACAGAACTCAGGAGGTTACAACGCTAAAGCTCAGGATGTTACAACACAGCCAACCACCCAGGATGTTGCAACACAGAACTCAGGATATCACTACACTTGATCTCAGGATGTCATCACATAGCCCATTACCCAGGTCGTTACAACACAAAAGACTAATGGGCACACAGCCAGCACCTCAGCTACTCAGGATGTTACGAAACAGCCGAACAATCTGCAAACAATAACTCCAACACAGCCAACCAACCCACCTACAGCAACAAAGCCAGCACTCCACACACCCCCACCAATATTTATAGAGAGACGGCAGCTCCGATCACCCTTTGCTCGCACAAGCACGAAGCCGAAGACCCCAGCCTGAAGATGACGAGTGGGACCTCGTCGAAACGTTGCCAAGATACTCTCAATCTTACACGGGAAAAGACCCGAATACGCCAAGACCTGCAAGGAATATATATATATTCCTTGCAAAAAATGTGGTTTGTACAGTGGTTAAGGTACCAGACTAGAAACCAGGAGATAGTGACTTTTACTTCTGCCTTAGGCACAAAGGCAAGTAGGTGACCTTGGGCCAGTCACTTTCTCACAGCCCTAGGAAGGAGGCACTGGCAAACCACTTCTCACAAATCTTGCCAAGAAAACTGCAGGTCTTGGCCAGGACTCAAAAACTGACTTGAAGGCACTCGTAAAGAAATAATTCTCAGCAAGTGATTTCTGTCCTCTGGCAGAAAGAAGGGGGCATCTTCTCTTGCTCTGCCCCCCCTGGCAGATGTTTTCCCACCTAGCAGGGCAGCCAGGGCCAGACCTTCATCACTGGGTTAAAAAAACAGATGCTCTGGAAAAGCTGCTCTGAACATCCTGGCACGGACTGCCCTCATTTAGGAAGAGACTTGGCAATAGCCATCCAACACAGCATTGGGAAAATGCCGTAAAACACTCTGAAGATGCTAGCAATGAGCTATTTGCCATCATCTTTCTAGTCACCATCATTTCCTCTATTCTCCTACAGGTTTTATGCAGCTGAAATTGCAATTGGCCTATTCTTTTTGCATAACAAGGGAATTATTTACAGGTGAGTGTCTGTTTGCTGTCCATTCTCCATGCCCACCCAAGGCAGAGGAGGAGATGGAGGGATCTTGATTACACCTCTTTGGGGCTAACTACAAAATCACAATGTTTTTGTAAGAATTGAGAAGATACAGCTCCATTCCTTTCCTTCCCTCTCATGATCTCTTCTTTTTTTTCCAGTATCAAAATCTGAATACAGGTAGTAGCAATAGTACTTAGATTTATATACCGCTTCACAGTGCTTTACAGCCCTCTCTGAGCAGTTTACAGAGTCAGCATATTGCTCCCCAACAGTCTGGGTCCTCCTCATTTTACCCACTTTGGAAGGATGGAAGGCTGAGTCATTCTTGAGCCCGTCAGGATCAAACTCCTGGCAGTGGGCAGAGTCAGCTTAATTCTCAACGTATGACCACAATTGACCCTGGAATTATGGTCGTGAGTCATAGCAGTCATCAAGTGGGTCACCACGCGACAGCGTTGATTTTACAACTCTTTTGCAGCGGTGATTAATTGAACTCCATGATTGTTAAGCGAACATGGGGGTGGTTAACCCGGTTTTCCCAATGGGTGTTTTTTTGTTGGAAACGGGCAAAAAAATGCTGAAAATTGCAGTCATGTGACCATGGGAGACTGCCAATGGCTGTAACGCTGATTGCCAAGTGCCCAAATGCGATCACATGACTGTGGGGTGGGGGAGGGCTCAGAACTCTGGAACCGGGTCGTAAGTAGATCTGGGAGGTCCATTGTAACTTTGAACAGTCACTAAATGACTGGTCATTAAGTGAGGTCTTCCTGTAACTAGAGATTCTGCAGTCATTGTATAATTGGAGCTCTCTCTTGGACAGACTCTGTTCCAATTTTTCATACTATTGTCTCTAGGGATTTGAAACTGGACAATGTCATGTTGGATGCTGATGGCCACATTAAGATCACAGATTTTGGGATGTGTAAAGAAAATATTTTCCCTGGCATCACCACCCGGACCTTTTGCGGAACACCTGACTATATTGCTCCAGAGGTACAGATCTCCATGATTGGCTGCTAGTACTTAAAAACATAATGTACTCAGGTCCCATCTACTTTAATTTGCTATTTCCAGTTAGTTTCTGGGCAGGATGTAAGGCGAGACTCAAAACCCACAATAGCTTTATAGCCAAGACACTTAAGGAAGCATCTTCAGTTGCAAGTTCCTCATTTTTTGGTTGTAGCTGGTTAGTATTTTAACTCAAGTCTTCTCTGCAATTCCTGTGTTTAGAGATAATCTCTCTCCTAACAGCAGAGAACTCTCATCTTAAATTCCTTTCTGTGGTCAAGCTAATTGATGGTTGGATAATTTTGCTTGTATTTTTTTTTTTAAAAAAAAACAGTTTTTAAAGGTTTAATTTGTTTTGATTGTTTTATTTACTATTGGATTTTTAAATAAATCATCTCTCTACAGAGATCAGGGGACTAATATTAAATTCCTTTCAGTGGTCAGGCTTTTAGGTCATAAGTTTAAATGTCTTAACGATTTAGCTGGTTGGCTAGTTTTAATTGCTTTTATTTGTTTTTAAATCTGTAATAGTTTGGTGTTATTGTATTATTTTACAAAATGCCCTGGTCCTAGAAATAAAGTGACAAGTGGCATCCAAAGAGCAGCAGACTTTAATATTTATAGATTATTATAATATAAATATTAAAGTCTGCTGCTCTTTAAATTTCAGGGTTTCACATTCCTACACCATAAGTTTGCATACATCCACACTCAATATGTCCATTATAGTTAGTGTGTTTTTGCATCTGAAATCCGGTTTTACAATTAAACATATGAATTATTTAAATGCAGGGACTCAACCTTGCTTTATCCCCTCTTAGGCACTATGTTCTCCTTAGGCTATTTCACTTTTAAGTTCTGAAATTCTCCTTTGTGTCTAGTTTGGCTCTCAGAATATTTTGGATGGAGTGGGCAGTGAGTGAATGAAAACTCTATTCTTTTATTGCATTTCAATCTTAATTGGTTGAAACGTCCAGGATCCTAACTGTGTTATGACCATGGTTTTTAAGTTGAATCACAGCAATGCTTTTTTACTTCAAGCCATCCTTGAAAAATAAAATGCAATGTGAGGAGTAGAATAGCAGGGTTTTTTATTGGGGTCAAACTCCATGGAATGTATCTGTCCCATTTAAAAATTACCGTTTTATTTATCAGTTCAAAATGCAACTATCTGTCCCTGAATGTTCTACGATCTAAGTATTTCATGAGCCACCTGCTTTTGTAATAACAGTACATAACAGTACATATTTTATTCATCAGTGGAAACTTTACTCCAGAATTTCCTACTTACTTCTGACTTACAACCTCAATTGGGATCGGAATTTTTGCCATAAGTCGTGGTTGTAAGTTGAATCAGACTTGATTTGTATAGTGTCATTAAGCAAATCATGGTCATTAAGTGAATCACACAGTCATTAAGCAAATACAGCTTTCCCAATGGGTGTTTTTGTTGGAAACTGGCAAAATAAAGGTCACAAATTACAATCAGTTGACCGCAGGATGCTGCAACCAATCGTAAATCCAAGCTGGCTGCCAAGTGCCTAAATTGCGATGATATGACCGTGGGGGTAGTAGAACAGTCATAAGTGTGAGTACAGGTCACAAGTCACTTTTTCCAAGGCCATCGTAATTTTAAACAGTTGTTAAACAGCTGTAAGTCAAAGACTACCTGTACTGGCTTTCTTACTTTGTTCATTAGTTTATATTAAATACGATTCCTACTTTGCAAACTTGGACAAGACACTATTATTTCAGTTAAGTATTTGGTCTCAGTAGAGAGCTATGAATTTTTCTCTTGGATTTTTTGCCTTTATTATTTATATTTGGCTTGGTTGTAGATGAATGTATCTTTAATTTTTTTAGCTGCTTAGTTGAAGCTGCTCTGATCAAAATGTGAAATGAGATATACCTGAAAGGGCTCAAATTCTTGTTTCTCTCTTAAGATTATAGCCTACCAGCCCTATGGGAAATCTGTGGACTGGTGGTCATTTGGTGTTCTTCTGTATGAAATGTTAGCTGGACAGGTACGTTATATGCAAGGATTCTGGTAGATGTATGCAAGTGTAGCGGGGACTGCCTGAGAGTGCTTGCAGGAGCTTGACTGGGAAGGGGAAGATTGGGACAGCTGCAGTTGGCTTGGGTGTGGCTGGCGTGAGTGGAAGGAGGAAGGATAGAAAAGGGAAGAAAAGGAGAAGGCCGGGGTTGGTTGGAGTTGAGAAGAGAAGGTCTGGAAGCTTATTTTATTTTTCTATCAAGGGTATTTTAAATAGAGGCTAGATAGAGTGAAGTTTTATTGCTTCCTCCGTGGGAGGATATCTGAGACGGAGGCAAGCGAGAGTGTGAAGNTAATAATAAAGAGTAAGGGAGGGGGGTGGTTTTTGAATCCTGAAACCTGAAGAAGAATCCCAGAGAAGAAGCACCAGGAGGAGAGAGACTGGTGGTGCCAACTGTTGCTGTGGACTTTGGAGGCATCTGGACTGTGGCCATCGCTGCTGGCATAGGTGCTGGGACATTGTGGGGAGGAGTTGCCCTGGGGGATGAGCCACTGCCATAACATACTGGCCGTCGTTGTTATTGTTACCATCTGGAGCCGGGGTTCACCCCCCCCCCATTTCATCGGATTCTGAACGATTGCTCAGGGGCCTGTTACTCCTGCTGCTAAAGCAGCCCTGAGCTGTTATATACATCTTCAGAGCATCAACCGCTGAGACTGGTTAAGTTCGTGCCTGAAAGTCCTGCTTCAACAAGAAGAGCCTGCCACCCATTAATGTTGCGTGAGCTCCGGTTGTAAGACATCTCATCGATCTCTAAAGAACATTGCTGCAAGGCTGGACAAGGGGGGGCGTGGCTGGGAGGGCCTGGGCATTGGCGGCCTCTGAGGTGGTAGCGCTACACGTGGGGGCTCGTCCGGGATATCCTGCCTGGCCCCTCCCCTTAGTAAGGAAGTGTTAGTCTTGTTTAGGGATATGAGCCAGGAGAGCAATATGGACTCTACTGCGGCCACCAGGTGGTGTGAGGAGCAGAATAGTGAAGTGAGTACAAGTGTAGTAATTAGGGTCCCTGGTGATGTTTGGTCAGAGGGGCGAGTTTTACAGACCTTAAGGGGCATTGTTCCAGACCAGAGGGTGTATGTGATAGATATGAGGGTAGATAAGGATCTCCCCCATTTTTATGTATTGCTGGAATGGAAAAAGAGTGTCCCAGAGTGCTTCCAGGTTCAAAGTTTACAGCTGACAGAAGATGCCAGAATGGGGGTGATTTTCCCTACTGTATGGGGCATGCCTTCGACACAACCACTGGGTCAGAAGAAAGAGAAGTGTGTTTCCCCACCTATAGGGGTAGCGGAAGTAGGGGCTGCCCAAGTGGGGGGAAGTTTGGTTTCTGTCCAAAATCTGACTGGGGGTTACTGCATAGGAGCCGGATATAGGAAGTTACGTACTTTTTCGGG